TTCAGAGGCACAGTCTACTTGGACCCTAGGCCCTCATCCACTGGAGGGTGATATATGTGCTGTAGAGGTCTGTCAGATCCCCACAAGTAAGTCAGAAGTGTTCCCACATCCAACTTCTGTTTAAGATTGCCTTTGCCATAGAGGCATCAATCTCTGTCCCCTTCTCCTGGCAGCACTCGACATCCTACACCACAGTGTGATTTAACTTTGTTAACACTGGATGCCTAGATGAAAGCAACACCCTCCAGCCATTGCCAGGCACAGAGTACAACCTATGCAAATGCCAGGCCTGGCCCCTGGAGAAATGCAGTGCCTCTCCATCTGTGCAGGTGGTGAGAAGGTCCCTGGGAGAGGCTATCACCAGCCCCTCCATCTCATCGTCCTTGCTGGCTTAGCCCACAGCATTGGTGCTGTGCCACCAAAAGCCTCTGGAACAGGATGTCTCGATGGAGCCCAATTGGGGCAGTATATTGCTGAGCCTTGTTCCTCTCCCTGGTGGGGTGAGAAGTTCCTGGAGCCACGGGCAAGCGTTCAGCAGCATGTCGAACTCATGTTGAATCACAGAGCATAAAGCAAAACAGGCCAGTTATTGACTAATGTTCGCTGCGGCTCTGGGCTCTCCCCAGCCCCCTTCAAATCCATGTGGCATCTGTCACAGTCTTCTTGTTCAGATGGTAAAACTTTATGGTGCTCTTTTATCACCGCCTTACAGAGCGCCGGCTACAGCCTTCCTTTGCAGGGGTGGCGATGCAGCAGTGGGATCCTGCTGTCCCCTGCCGGGCATCCCCAGCATGGCTTGCAGCGCTGACCCGGGTTTGGATGCTCCAGAGGGCATGGTTTAGTGGCTACAGCAAAGGATGCGGGAGCACACATACGATTTTGTCTTTAGCTCTTCTGTTTTTGTGGCTTCAGGCCAGGGGAGAGAGGTCTGCCAAGCTCACCTCAGGATGCTCTCAGATCATTCAGACTGGTTCGGAAACTGTGGACCACTGGTGGTAAAAGGCAAAGCAAAACTGCTAACTGCAAGGAGGTGTTTGCACTTAATGAACTCACAGCTGCAATTCATTGGTGCTTCCAACGAATTGGGTCCATCTACCATCCGCCAGCCGCCATGAAAATCCGTTTCCTCTCCGTGCCAGGTGACCTGACGAAAGGAGGGCACAGGGAAGTAGCACTTGGCACCACTGCAAAGGCTCTGGGCAGCTGCCTGCTGGCTTCCTGTACCTTGGCTGCCAAGGCAGAGATTGGTGTCAGTCTGTATCAGACGGACACTTTGGTGGAAGGACATCTCACCTCCACTGTTACTGCTCAGGGAGGGGACCAAGGCTGCCAAACAAGGCTGCTGGACATGATGCTAATAGCTGAGGGCTCAAAGAAAAGAGAGGGGGAAATAGCAGAAACAAATATCTAGAGCATTGTGCAAGGCAGTTTGGGAACTGCTTTTACATGATGGGCAGTGAGTGAGAATAGCTAAGTCAAGCATGTTCCCACAGTTTGTGCCAGAGCACAGCTTGTGGTACCCTACACCCCGAGACAGGAATCTCTGCTCACAGCAGTGCTCTTGCAGCATCGCCCTTGTGTAGATGCAAAGCAAGAGGTGTGTGCTGCGCCCCCACAGCCTTCCAAGGGCAGCTGCTCAGCACAGATGCTGCACTGTGGCCTTGGTCAGGGAAGAATGACCACAGTAGCTGTGCCACAGCAAAATGACATGAGTAAAGTGTGAGGAGGGAGAGATGAAGATGAGGCACAACATCACCATGAAATGCTAACACTGAAATAAAATCCTCTCAAATCAACCCATATATCACTGGAAGCAGCCTGTGAATGTGAATCCTGGCTGGCAGCCAAAGTGCAAATGGCAAGCCTCTGTGCAAGAGAAGTGGCTTAATGTGCAGTAGAGACCACTGTGATTATGTGTCCCAGAATAAGCTGTGCTAGTGCATAGGTTTGGCAGTATTGGTTACAGGCTATTAAATCCCTCTAAAGGCATAAGTTTTCAGTCCTCTTCTGACTGCACAAACTCATTCCTAAAAACCTCATCAAAATGTACTCACATTGAGGGTATCATCTACCCACTTGAACAGATGCAGAATGAGAAGGGACCCCTCTACCAATAAAAGCCCGATTCATGTAAAGTTACTTTGTAGGAGTACTAGCCAAAACTTTCCTAGACGGAAAGAAGGAGCTGCTAAAGGACTGTCATTACGAAACAGGCTGAGGATACCTGTTCTGCTCACTTCATGCTCCTGTCCTGGGCACTGGAGTGAGAGAGGAACTAGTGCATTGATAAACAGTGAGTGGAGAAGACGTATATTTACCCCAGGCTAAGGGTCTCCCAGACTGGGAACAAAGACCCTCTGCAGGCCCACTCAGAGGACAGAGGTTGGGAAATAGCTAAGTGAACATGGGAGGGAGACAGGAGGTTTAAATTGTTAATCTGCCTTTCCCAAGTAGATTCTGTTCCTCCATCACCACCACCACCCATAAATTTACATTTATTTTAAACCCTGGGGCTTGTTGCTCTCCCATAAAGGAAACGTTGCCATCAAGGGCACTTAGAAAATGTCATTCAGTTTCTGGCTAAGAGCTCAGTGCAGTTTAATAATAGCTCCAAAGTATCAGCCCAGCACACTGCATTGCCCATGTTGGCAATGAGGACCCCCACCACTGGAGGAGGCAGCGGCTTGCTGCACTGAGAGGTGCTGGGTGCTGCTGAACAATGGGTATTGACAGTGCTCAGGATTCCACTGTGGTGTTTGTGCTTTTCTTCAAGCCTAAGCTCATGGCTCGAAGTGATACTGAAATGTCTTCTTATCATCTGTTTGCTTTTTAAGTAGTTTTCTAGCTTCCATGTTTCTAAATAAACACCTGAAATTCAATACATCAATGTTAAAAAAGCAAGACAGCAAGGAAAAAAAAGCATCCAGACTATTTGCACAACCTCGGGGCTCTTAAGCCAGTTTGGTGATTTCTGGAAGCAGAGGGCGTTCCTGGAGCATGCAGTGATGCACTGGGACAGGGCATGAGGAACACCCAGGCAGTGCTCAGCCACAGCGGGCAGGGCGGTGGGGTGCTGCTCCTGGGCTCTTCCTCAGCCTTCGTGTGACCTTCCCCACTGATGTGCCCCTGTTTGCTTCTTGAAAAGGAAGTTTTGACACATTGCTGAATCATCAGTTGTGGAAACCCAGTAGTTCTTTCAAACACTCATGGTGGTGTGGGAGGACAAGATGAAACAGGAAGATGCAAAGGCAGTGCCAGTGCTGCAAGGCAAAGACACATTTAGGGACTGCACCTTTCAGCTCTGCCCCTCAGGATGCTCTGGAAGCCCTTCTCCAGGGGACTTTTCCATTTTTCACATGGAAAATGTGCTCTGCCCTCAAACGTTGTTAGCATTGCCTGCTGCAAAATCCCTGTCACTTACCACCTTCTAAGTGCTCAGAAAAACACTATCTGCAGTTGTTTACAGGAATTATGGACCCGTTTTATGAGCTCAGATATTTGGCTGTCCTGGGAAAATCCCACTCTGAAGTACAGATCAAGGTACTGTGGAAGAAAAGCTGTCACTATGCCCTTGGACCAAGTTGCCTACCCCTAGGACACATCAGTACAACACATTCAGCTTTGTGATCTCAGGCAGGTGAGAAGGGATCATGGAAGACAAGCTCAGCCAGTTGCTGCTTCTCCGCACTGCTGCCTATGTGTGAGCTGAGCGTGATTCACCCAGTCCCTTGTCCGCACTGCTGCCGGCTTCACAGCCAGTGCAGTGAGGGGCAGGGGCTTCACTGACTCACCCGGTGCTGCCTGTGGCACAAGGTGAGCTCACTGACCTGTGAACCCATGGCCCCACAGGCACCAGACGTCCCTGCTGCCCGCCGGGACTGTGCTGTTGCTCACATGTCCTCTGTGTCAGGACTGCAGTGACTCGGTGGTGCTGCCGACACAGCCTCTTCCATCAGCCAGCAGCAGTTGGGGATCGAATCAGTGACCCCCAGTGAGATGCACCATGTTCAAGCATGGAGGAGTGTGGGGCTGGGATCTAGAGCAGGCCAGCGCTGTCCCATCTTGGCCTTCAGAAGTGCCAAGGGCTGCCCCTCTCCAGAGGTGGTGTGTCCCGTAGAGAACTCCCAGGCTGTCTACAAAATCCAGCATGAAAAGGTCAGGGTACCTATGCACCCCGCTCCACGTGTCAGGATACTTGTGCAACCCTGGGGCCATTCCAATTACTCTGGTGACTACAACACAGAAATACGTTTCACTGAGGTTCCCAAGAAGAGGAAAACTCATCTGCCCTGTTATGGTGAGCCTGGTCTGTAGGGCCCTTGGGAACAGATCTGATCAACTTGTTCCTGTGGCTGCACATCAGGCCAGACACTGCCTGAGCCATACTGGTTAGAGTCTGGCAAAACCGTCACGGTGAGCAGCAGCCATGGTGGGGGGCTCAGCTGCAGGAGGCAGGGGGCTGGGTTGCCCCAGGAGCCTCACAACTTGCCAAAACTCTGCTGCACTCTCTCCAAGAGCAAATATCATCATCCTCACAAATGGTTAACCTGCTGGGATCTGCACAGCACTAATGACTTCACATGCGCTTAATCAGCTTGGGCTTCCAGAGCCTCCTCCTCGGGAGCTGGAAAGGCTGTGTACCCTGGGTGCAAATGCTCCCAAAGCCGCACCCCCCCCTTACCAATCATTAATCACCACTGGGCCATGAGCAAGCAGCAAGCAAGCTGGAAAAGGCCAAGTCTCCGCAGCCCTGGCGGGAGCAGGGGGAAGCAGTGCTGACCGGTTCGGTGGAGGCAGCTCACTCTCCGATCACCCTCCCCTGGGAGGCCCTGGTGGAGGTGGCCAGTCCTGCAGGCACTGCCCTTTCCTTCAGGAAGGTCACTTGGTCCTGGGCGCAGGAGGCTCTGCCTGTGGCTGGGAGCTGCTGGGCTGCGCCTGAGGTGGGAGCTCTGAAGAGGAGCTGTTCTGCGGTTCTGCACCGCAGTCTTCATCTCTTCACCATGCGGCGCAAAGTGTTTTGGAGTGTTCTGGAGTACACCTGCCGATTGCTGGGCATCTCCACTGCAGCAGGTAAGAGCGAGCTCTTTTTCTTTGGCACAAAAAAGGCACTGAGTGGATGGTGGGACCCCTGAGCTGTCTCCTTGCCTTTGGCCAGGTGCAGCCACTGCTTTATCCTGTGAGGGGGAACAGGAAACTTGTTCACTTTTGCTTTTGGACCGAGGGAGGGGGAGTGCTGGATCCCTGGCCAGGGTCTTTGCAAATGCTGTGGGAGGTACAGTGAGACATCAGAAAGGAAGACCCAGCATTCAGTACGGCAGAGGACAAGCTAAAGCACAAATGGAAAAGAAAACAAAATTATGTTCTCGTAAAATAGACATGAGCAGAGGCAAGATGTGAATGAGATTGAAAAGCAAAATACTCATGGCTGTGTAAACTGCCAGGCTGCTCTGTGGGATGTGAAAAAGAAGGAGGAGTTCCTTGTGCTGTGCACAGTGAGATGTTCTGTGCCAGGCAGGATGGAGAGGTCCCAGCTATTGCGGCACAGTTACTGCCAAAGTGCTGCTCTGCCTCTCTAGCAACCCGTCAGGGAGCAGGCCCAGGAAGCAGTTCAGGTTATAGCTGCAGTACAAACACCATAAATTCACCCATCTGGCTAGTTGCACTTTCTCACCCGCTGCCAGGGGCTGCCTGGGACCAGTGTCCTTTGGGTTTGGTGACACATCCAAGTGCTTGGTTTTAGGTGAAATGCAAGTCTTTTAAGCCAGATATCTTAGGCACAGTGCCTCACCCAGAAAGACTGAACTGTGGTAAATAACCCTCTTATATGGGGGATCTCCAGGTGGGATCTGGGGAAACAGCTAAGGCAGAGGACAGGGGTTCACCCTGGCACTGCTGCTGACTCACTGTTTACAGGATAGGACAGACAGTGCTCTCTGCCTCAGTTTCCCCATCTGTAAAGCAAAGATCAAAATGCCTGATTTACCTAAAGGCTGGAGGTGTGAACCAGAGGTTCCTGGTGAGAGGTGACGAGTCAGTGCCTGTGGTTCCTGTGTCAGACCCCTAGGGATTTCAGATTCAGACGCTGCAGAGTAGGTCACAGTCAGCCCTCCTGCCTCCGCATTTCCTTTGTCAACTGCAGACAGCCATGAGAGACATTTTGCTCAGGTCAGGGGCAAAGTAGAAAGCCCACAAGTCAGCTGAAGAGAGCACAGGTCCCTAAGGACATCGAAAGCCCATCTGGGAGGCTGGAGGCTGTGCTCTGGAATGCGCTTTAAATGACTGATAACAGAGAGAGATTTGAGTCTCTGAGTTTATACAAACTCTCAGTAGATAAGCGCACATCATGATGAGACTACAACAGTCAGGGGCTGGGACACAGCTTTAACCAGCAAATGCAAATGTCTTACTGTCCTTTCCCCATCACAATCCCCCTCAGGCCCACATGAGCCCCATGCTGGTCACATTCTCTCTTAAAGTTCCAAGGAAACTCATACAAACCTTCCTGGGAGAAAACATGAGCTTGTTGCCATGGGAAAACTAAAGCTGGAAAAGCAGAATTGAAAGTAGCTTATAATTTGGAAGCGTCTTAATTGAATATAATCTCTCCTGATTTTTTTTCTTTTTATTATTTTGCAGAAAGAGGTCTGCACCTCTTTCTGTAGTACTTTTAGAAGTGAGCAGTGTATTTGTCTCTCTCTGCTGAGCATCACAGAGCATAGACAGCTATACAACCAATCTCTCTGCTTTTCTGTAACTCTGATAGGTTCCTGGTATCACTCGACTTTCCCAAAAGGCCAGTAAAGAATGAGAGGTGCCAGTGTTTTATTATTCTGTATGTCTCAATGGAGTAAGAAAACAGCTTGATGCAGTGTTTAGTGCCGAATGAGGTGTGTGAGGTTTTTGCATGAAATGGAAAACATGCAGAAGAGAATCCCATGGGTTTTGTTTGAAAAAAAATAATGAAAGGGAGAGTGCATCAGCCTCATTAATTGATTCTGAGAAGGCCTGGCCAGCTCCATAAGCTGCTTGCAAATACAGAATGCTGCCCACATAGTATAAACCTCTCCTTCCCCCAGGATCTTGGAGAGTAATGACTGTCTGCAATGGTGGGTCTACAGGTTTTCTTATGTACAAGAAATCAGACAGCCCTGCCTTCGTGGCAAGGTAGCTAATAGTGATCAAAGAGCCTCATGATTTGGTACCATGTTTGGGGCATCTTTGCAGTGCAAAGATTTTAGGCCTTGTGATTTCTGCATCTAGGAGAGAGTCCTTACTTATTTCTTAATTCTCATGCTTTCAACCATTTAATTCCTAATCATGTGCCTTTAGCCACATGGTTTGGATAAGATCCAAATCAGGGCAGCAACTAGTCCAAACAAACACCTTGGAAACACTGCTTTACTTCTTGCAGATTCTTCATCCAAACAGCCTTGTGGATAAAGCAGAAGCTGTGCAAAATGAGGAAACCTCCTCATCCAGAGCAGAGACTTGAGCATAACAGCTGAGCTGTTGAATTCTGCATTCAGCTGCAGGGAATGAATGAATGAATTAATGAATGAAAGAATGAACTCCACATTTGTAGGAAAGATTATAAAGACGGGTTCTCAGTCACGAGATAACAAAAGACAATACTTTGCATGTAGGATTACACAGCTCACAGCTTCACAGCCCTGTGATGAGACTGATTTCCCTGTGTCTCTGCCCGGGGCTGGAGAGGAGGGTAGTGCGTGAACCCCATGTGTTGCGCTGGCTGACAGGGGCCAGATGCTGCAGGTTACACAGGGGAAAACAAGGAAGATCACAGCACCCCAGTGGGGTTTGCGTGGCCAGGATGATGGGAGAGCTGCATGCTCAGGCAGAGATCCACCTTGTGGACCTTACGGACACTGGTCTGCACCCATGCTTGGGAGCCTGGTACCCTTCTTCAGCTGGGGCAAACCACAGCTCTGAGAAATGAAGCCAACCAACACCTCAAGCCTTGGCCAGCATACACTAACCAGGACCAGACATGACATTCTTGAACACCAGTGAATGAGCAGGGACTGCTCAGTGAGATATGTAGACATCAGGCATAGACTTCCTAGAGTGATGCCCTTGCCATGAGACCTGAGCTCCACACTGCTGGCACCTGCGCATCCTGACAGTCCGCCTGTGTCCTGATCCACTTGCTGCAGCTGGTGCAAGGCACTTAGTTTTTGCTCCATTTTGGAAACAGTCTTGTGGGGAATTGAAGGATGTAGAATGAAATTTTCCATCCCCTGAAGCTATTTGCCCCCAACAGCCACTCCAGGGAAGATTTTAGCCTTGCTAATACTCTTCATCCCCTTTAAACTGACTCCCCAGTGTGCTGTGCTGGCCAGGACACTGAGGGGACATTCATTCACTGGTTTTAATCTGCCTGCTCACTTTATATGTTTTTCTGTTTGGCTAGCAAAGGATCTTGATGCCATGGCTACAGCCTTTTGTGAAGGCAGCTGGCATGGTTCCCCATCCTGCTGCTACCCTGCAGCCACATGTTGGCTGCAGCAGGCCTGGGCAAGCAGGGAGGATGGGGCAGTGAGGCTGGCAGGCACTGAGGAAACCTGGGCAGAGAGGTCTCCACATCGTGAGGGGACAGAAGTGGATGGGACAGCAGGAGGGAATTCCCTGTCTCAGCTGTGATGGAGCAATGTGCCAGTGGGTGGAAGGGACAGAGGACACTGCTCCTCACCTCGTCCAGCTTTCAAAGGCCAGCTGGTATCCCCAGAGCACCTCTCCCCAGCCCACGCAGTGGTAAGGCTGCTGTGCTAGGGATGCAGCTGGGACGAGTTTCTGGACTGTATGTCAAGGCCAGCATTTAGCTCTGATCCCCCTGGGTTGGTGTGTCAGCATGAATCACTGGTGCTGGCAGTCCTAACGTGCTGCACAGCATGGGAGGAGCAGCCTCTCCAGACCCTGGGGAACCCGAGGCATTGATCCTGGGAGCTGGTAGGGCACCACAGAGTCGGGAACCAACCCTGCAGTCAGCATCTTTCCTACCTTGTCTTTCTAGTGCTGATCGGTGTGGGCGTAGAAACTCTGCAGCGAGGACAGTTCAAAAGCCTGGCTTTCTATCTGCTGTGAGTATTTTTGCCCTTGAAGTCGGAGCTGGCAGGGATGACACATTCAACCCCTTCACCATATTAGCATGAGACTAGACTGCTACAGCAGCAGGGAACAGTGTCTGAAGGTCTAGTGAATTCAGATATTTGTATTTATGTTTTAGAAAAAGTAAGCCATTTCTGCAACTACTGTATCACCTATTGCACCTATGGCAGACCAGAGGTGACACTGGCTGCAAGCTGACTCCCAGAGGACAGAAGAGCTTTGAGCTCTCCTCCATGAACTGACTGAACAGAGGGTGTTCAGACCCCAGTATACAGATTCTGTTTTGAACTGGATAATAAATCCTGGCCCTCTGTGTCCCTTCTGTCACCTGGAGAGTATACTCAACTCTAGGCCAGCCCCCTTAACAACTCTATCTTTCAGTTTTTCAGGGGTTGCAGTTACTGTCTGTGAAGGATTCTTCTTTATCAGTTTGTTCCTGGAGATGTGCTTCACGTGAGTAGACCCTGTCCAGTCTTCTCCAGCCCTGGTGGGACCTCCCTAAGGCAAGTTACCCCTTACAGACTAACTGAGATATAAGTGCCTGACCAAAGGTCCTGCCGCTAATGCCATGGCAAGTGCACTCAGACAGAGGGGAGGTAAGTGGGGCCATGTCTGCAACCAATTAAACCTGTGCTTTAACCCAAGCTGTGCCGTAATTTCCTGAGCATCAGCACAACAAACCCTAGTTCACAGCACCTGCTTAACACAGAAACCCTACAAGGGATTGGGGTTGAGGGAAAAGCTAGATCCCCAGGGTGAACTGCAGCTCCCTCCCAGAGACAGCACAGAAGTTCAAATTAAAATGCAGAAAATCCATACGTACTTCCCAGAGGCTGAGCACTTCTGCTGTCTTTTAGCATAAACTCAAAATTTTGATAGATTAGAGGCAACACCTCACTCCAGGTAATGCCGAGCTCTGGCAGAGGTAGACCCTGGCCTCTTCTCCCCATGGGAGAGGCTCAAGCTTTGCTTACATTCACCAACCAACTCACTGGTTTCCCGGAAAAACAGAGTGAGGATCTGCACATCTAGATGGGTGATGATTAGGTCCAAATCTTCTTGTCATATGCTTGGTGCCCCATCCCACAAAGACCTCTGTTTGTCTCCCCAGATACAAGCCTGACTCCCTGGCACAGGCCTGCTGGAAGCGAGCTAGACGTCCGGGGAGCTTTCAGAAATTTCTAGGGTACACACTGCTCTCAGTGGCTTGCTTCCTGCATCCCGTCCTCGTCTGGCATGTCACCATCCCTGGTGAGGAGACCATGCTGGGGTGGGGAGTAGTACAGATGGAAGAGGAGCACGGTCTGTCGAGGGACAGGGGGTGGGGTTGTGTGGGGTGCTGGACCGGTTGCAGACGGTGCTAAGCTAGCTTGATCAAGCACTGCTTGGTGAGCTCTTCACCTTGCCCCAGCCCTCAGCCAACATGGCCTTCTCTCCAGGGTCCATGCTGGTGCTTACCGCCCTGGGCTACTTTCT